TTTCATCAAATAACATCACCATTGATGAGGGAATGAATATCACCTTTCTTAGCCTATCATCTTTATTCTTATCATCTTGTGAACTGAAGGATTTTCCACACTTCTTGAGAAATGTAAAGACACTTGTGTACTTGGATATTTCTAACAATATGATTCGTGGTCAAATTCCTGACTGGTTTAGTGGCATGAGGTGGGACAACTTGTGGTACCTAAATATTTCACATAATCTTTTGACAGGTTACCTACCACAACTGCATTTCCATAATCTAGGGTATCTTGATCTGAAATTTAACTCCCTTCTGGGTCCACTACCTTTATCCATTTGTAACATGAGCTCGCTTATCTTATTAGATTTATCACGCAACAACTTCAGTAACTACAGTTTCGTATGAGGATTCATTGAGTTTGGTAATCAAAGGGCAGGATATTGAGCTACAAAGAATCAACACAATTATGACAACCATAGATCTCTCAAGCAACCATTTTGAAGGTGTCATTCCGAAAACACTAAAGGATCTCAGCTCACTTTGGCTACTCAATTTATCCCATAACAATCTCATAGGTCATATTCCAATGGAACTAGGGCAATTGAATACGCTTGAAGCTTTAGATCTCTCTTGGAATTGGCTCACTGGAAATATTCTGCAGGAACTGACAAGAATGAACTTTCTGGCCTTCTTAAACGTCTCTCAAAATCATCTTGTCGGACCAATTCCTCACGGTCTACAGTTCAACACATTCGAAAATGATTCGTATGGCGGAAACCTTGATTTATGTGGTCTTCCTTTATCAAAGCAATGTGGAACGAGTGATTCATCACATGTTCCTCAACCATTGGAGTCCGCAGAAGAAGGCAAGTCATATTTTTTTAGTAGTAATAGGCTACAGTTTTGGACTTGTCATTGGAACTGTCATGTGGAGCCTCATGTTTAAATATCGTAAGTCAAAGTGGTTTGTGGAAATTTTTGATGGACTCATGCCTCACAAAAGAAGAAGGCCAAAGAAGAGAGCTCAGAGACGAAGGACTTAATGGAAGATTGAGAGGGCTAAATTGTCTTTGTTTGATTTTGTGGACTAATAAGTAAACTGTTCTGTTTTTGTCTTCTTTTTTTTAATTTTCTATTTGTTGTTTGTATATGTTAGAAACATAATTATATGTGTGTTATTTTAGTATTCAATTTATGTTAGTTTGTTTCTGTTTCAAATTGACAGAAGTGATCTACACAGCAACTCATTAGCTATGTTACTTAGATTTTTCAAAAATGTCAACGGGTATGTGTTGGATTCTTCAAAAGTTGTGTATTTATTAAGGAACCAACATGGGCAGTGGCGGA